AACCCCACCCCCTAGCCCCAAATATAATCCACTCTACAACCCTCATTGCATACTCCTACGATAAAAATAATGCCCTAAAATATAATACTTTTAGACTTTTTTAATGAAAACCCAACTTCATAAAATTTCACTCAAATTATAATAAGGATTTAATAAAAAAGCTTAAAAAGCTAAGTATGTGTTTCTTTTAAAAAATATTTCTGGATATTAGGTTAGTAGCTATAAATATAGCTAAGTAATTTTAAATTGAAATCAAATAGTTTGAGATTATTGTAAAAGAATTATTTTAATGTTGTGTTAGCATGCCATTGAGTATTTTATTATAAAATAATGTTTCATTATATGATATAATAAATTTCCCTCAGTGACACTTCCAGTTTGGTATCAATTAGGAGTATATGGAGTGTTAACATTACATGTTGGGCTCTAATAAAAATGTTATCAATTTGGATCTGCAAGTAACTCCACTGAATAAACATGAGTGTCTCCTCCTGTAAAGATCAGCAGCCTCAGAACCTAATGAAAGATTATCATGAGTCAGAATTCACTCAGATACAGTCAGTTTTATTTTCTGGCTGTAGCATTACAAACATATTTACCTTTAATGATAGCAATAATAAATACACTTAACAGATTGCAACTATTAAAGTTTTTTTTACAAAAAGTACTTTCTAGTCATTATAGTTTCTACCAAATCAGTTTTTAAAACCCACTCACAAAGTGTGAACCACGTTTGTTTCAGTCCAAAGTAGAGGCTGATATCAGTCTGAATCCCGATGTCATAAAGGTTTAATTGGAACTTTAACCCTGCATCAAGTTTGTTGTATTCTTGGTAGCAGTGCAGTATTCCTTGAAAAGCAAAGAAAAAAAAAAAACAAACCTTAAAATGCAAAATTTTATTTTCTAACTTATAAGCTATCTACTTATCTCATTTGTTTTTATGAATTGATGAGAATTTATCTGTATAACTGTGGCAACATCTAGCCGTACAAGTCCTTTTATCAATGCTATTTATAGGTACTGGTAAAATATTTGTAAAGTCTAATAAGCTATTTCTCTAAAAAAAGGAAATCTAGCGGTATTGAGTGAACAATATTTAGTCAGTGGAAAAAACAAGGAATAAAGTAGTATGGAAAAAGTATGGCACAATTTGTATGATAGGCTGGGAAATTATATATATATTTGATTTATACACATATATAATATTTCCGAAAGATATACATTTTTTCACTTCCAGAGAGTGACCTGGGCATAAAGAAAAAAGAAAATTTTCACTATATAAAGTTGATATCGTTGAATTTTAATTGTTTTACTATGTTGTTGTGTTCTGTTGACAGACAACATCTTACAACTAAGCCACCAGGATTCCCAATATTAATATATAACATTAAAATATGAAAAATAATGATTATATTTTTTGTAAAATGTCCATTGGAAAAATTTTCAGGGGCAATACCAAGTCTTGGTAGAATTACTTAAACTACATTTTGGTTAAACATGTGCTCAAAAAAGGCAAATATGGATTTGCTGCATTTTACATGTGACTATATTTAAGGCTGTATAATGATTCTTTTTTACGTGGCCTAGATGGAATGTGCAGGTCAGCAAAAAGAAAAATAGATCCTCAACTAGGTGGACTGGCACAGTAACTGCTGCAATGGGTTTGAGTACGTCAGAACTGAGGATGGCACAGGATTGGACAGAGGTCAGATCTATTGTACATAGGGCCACGATGAGTTCTTGATTCGCCATCACCTAACAACAACAGATGTGAAGATGATAAACATAGAATTAGCAGGTATATAAACCAGTAAGTTTAGATTAAGTCATTAGAAATGGTCCAGAAATAATGAAGACAACCTCTTTTCAAAATCTTTAATAGGTATTTAGGGAGCTCTGGTGGCTTAGTGGCAACGAACTGTGCTGCCAACTCAAAAGCTTGTGGTTCAAATCCACCAGCAACTCAACAAAAGAAAGACATGCAGTCTCCTCCCATGTGATATACTGCCCCTGAAAACCTGCTGG